CTGTCTGGATATATTATTGGGGGAAGAAGCTAAACAATCATTGATATCCAAACTCACATGAGGTCAGTATCTCTCTCTGACCATTTGTGTCTTAGATTTGTTCTTCAGATCTTTACAAAATCAATTCAATTCAATAAATTGCAGAAGAAGCTAAGGAAGTACTTATAAAGTTTATGTTTTCCTTTAAAACATTAAGTGCTTTGGTTTTAAGAGTCCTTGGTGGCATAAGAATATTAACATTTTAATGTGCCACACTTCCTCTCATGAGCTACCAATGCACAGTAAATATGGGCATCCCTCAGGGTTTCTGAAATCCTCCAAAGGAAATCTGTCTTCTGGATGCATCCTCAGAGGGCTCTTTTCTTCTTGGATACTGGCCTCAAGAGCATATAACTGGCTCTCAGCCCCCTTACTAGCCTTTATCTTCCCCTCCTCTAGTCTTTGTGCATCTTAGGCAGTCAGAGCAAATCTATTCCTAAGACTACTTGCTACACACATGTCTCCACCTCCAAATACTTAAGGTGGAATCACAGTTGGGGACAAGATCAAAAAGGTTAGATTTATTGACTTGACCATTATTTTTTATATGCCAGGTCTTGACTTTGTGTTCTTGGTGAAAACTTAGTATAATCAGACAGAATGAGGGGTACCCTGTGGCCCCCAAATCTACATGCTCTAAATGGGTCTGCCACCCATTGCATAAGAACAAAACAGACTCTTAGTTTGTAAGACTGTCAATAGAAAAGAACTTGATTAGAATTAGTTCTTTTATTTTATTTTATTAGCACAATAGAAAGAGGAGAAGAGAAAGAATATAGTTTCCAAATGAAGCACCAAAATTTACCCATCTCCTCTTGGGTAAATGCCCACCAAACAGGGTTGACGCAAAGCAGCGTCACTGAGGCCTGAAAGCTTGCCACAAGTCTAAGGCACCTTCTGGTGGGGACCCATAGGAAAGTGGCAGAAGGGACTAGGCAAGTCTGGAAGGAAAAGAGCAAAAGCAAAATACAAGTCCAGATAAAGGTTACCAATCTCCCCACTGGCCTCTCACCCTCATCTGTCTCAAGTGTCTCCTTTTATGTCCCCCAAGTCTTTGGTACAAATCCAAGGCAGAGAAGCACATGGGGTTGCTTCTTCACATGACTCTCCTCCATGTGGCCCCCAAATCTACAAGTCCTCCCCGGTTTTCCTCTTCCCTCTTCCTTCTCTCCCAAGTCATTTTTAGCTTCTCCTCCTTCCTCTCAGCTCCACCCTTCCCTAGGTGGGGCAGGGAACCTGCAACCTGCCCTTTCTATAGGGATTACACTGTTATATGAGCAGTAAATGACATACTTCAGATGAACCTCTCTAAGTCTAAATGTGACAAGACCGCATACGCAGTCAAAACTCTACCCGTTGCACCATCAAACAGTAACCGTCCCCAGGCAGGTGTCAATTTGTGTGTACGCAATCTGTGAACTGAGTTCCCACAGAATCATACTCCTGCTGAGGACACCAAAAGTGGTTGTCTCGGGGAGACCTTTGAATGAGGCTGTCAAACTTCCTTTCTCAGTGGCTCTTAAATTTTTGGTTCCTTCAGCAACAGCGGTAGGTCTTGGCATGGCATCATTGGTAACTCAGTGACCAAAAGAAGTGGAGCTGTAAAAACAGAGAAAGTCGAGGACAACGGAAAACGTAAAGGTGAGATTAGCAGCAGACATGAGCCTGCAAGGGCTCCCGCGAAGCTAGAACACTGGGGAGGGGCACGTGGACGTACCTCCCTAGGGAGAGCCAGCAGCCCCAATACAGGTGAGCACTGAGAGAAACCTGTGTATCATAGAGATGTCAAGCCTCCGGGCTGCCTAGAGATACCCGGAAGTGGCTCCAGGACGCCGGTGGGTCTTCTCGGGAGGCAGGGCCTGGCCCCGGCTTGGTAGTTCAGGGCGCCCCGCTGCTCGCAGTCCCGGTGCGCTTAGTCGCCTGCCGCCGCTGTGAGTGGACGAGGGTCTGGAGGGCGTTACGCTGCGGGCACCCCTGGGCCGGGCTGGTGACAGCACCGAGGTTCGAACCCTGTGAGAGAGCGACCCCATCTGTGCCAGCCCGGGGTGACCGCCTCCTGGGGGCACGAGCGCAGGGATCGGTGGTACCGCGCGGCGGAACATTCTCGCCTTTTCTGTACTTCGCTTCGCTTGGAAGCGACTTATCTAGACTGTCCGAAGGCTTCAGCCACTGGCGAGCCTCGTTCTTCCCTGGTTAAGACAGCAGCCCCCTGGCTTGCACCTGGATCTAGGTAGGCTTGAGTCACATCTTCTGTTTTCATCGCACTCTTGGGAAAGCGTCCTTTCTCTCTGACAAGTGATTCCTGTTTCCCATGTAAAGTGGTAATGTAGTGTTCACTTTTAAAACGAACATATTTCTTTGTAACAAGATAAGTAGATTGAAATCAGATAAATAGTCCCAGAGGTGCCAGGTGTGACAGAAGTTGTGAGGGTGGTTCAGTGAACCACACTGCGTTGTCCCCACCTCTGCCTTCAGAGCGGGGAGGGAGGGCTCCCCCCCTGCCACCCCTTGGATTTGGGCCCTTAGGAGGTTGCAGAGAGTGTGAAGTGTGAAAATCGCCTGCTAGGCTCCAGTCAGCATATACTCAGCTGCTTCAGGTCAAAGGGTGCGCTGCCAGTGCTGTTGCATTTAAGAAACTGGGGAGCTCTGGAATCAGACACACTAGGTTTCCCTGTAGGGCACCAGGTTTCCGCTGGCGCAGATGCTAGCACAACCATTCACCAGCTGTAGTTACTTGGGGTTAGTCACTTTTTGTCTCTAAGCCTGTTTTCACATCAGAAAAATGGGGGGAAAGTAGTCTTCAGAGGTTTGGGGGGAGCATCGAGGGCCTAGCACAATGCCTGGCAAACAGTAATTGTCCAGTAAGTGGGGGGTGACATTAGTATGTTGAAGTGGCAGGCATAGGTACCCAAGCAGGAAGGAAGTGCAAGTGTGACACTCCTTGCAGATGCAGCAGAAAGGGGCTTTTGAAAAGGGTGCAAAGTGTTCACGTATTTAATGGGTCTGGGATCCTCTAGAGTCTCCTGTTCCTACAGATGTTCCTGCAAAAGTGCCCTGAGCATTCTCAGCCACCTTTGTCATAAGGATTGTGAAATCTTTGTCTTTTGTGTGACAAATATCTGGGTCAAGTGAGTTTGAGTAGGTAGCTGGAGAAGGATATTTGATACATCTAAGATAATGATCCTGAGTTAAACAGGTGCCTTGCTGCTTCAGTTATATTCAAAACAATGTGCTCAGATACCACTGTCTGTTATAATATATTGACTTTCTACTTAATGCTATGTCCTTCTCAAATGTGTTTGGCTTTTTTGGTTTCCATAGGATTAAGCCATGTGGAGATATTTTTTATCTTCCTTAAAATGTGTTGGGTTTTTTTTTAATTATTTTTAGGAAAGCAGTCTTCAGTTCTCTCTTTTCTAAACTCTAGTGGCACCTAGATTTGTATATTGCACAATAATACCAGAGGGTTGGTAGCATTGCCCTCTTGAGCTCAGGGGATGAAGGAACTGTGTGCATAAGCTAAGGTTCTTATTACTGATCCTTAGCATTTAATTAGTCCTTTGTAAATTTAAAGTACTCCTAGACGTTTTTATGAGTTTCTTCTCATAACTTCCCCTATGAGATGTCAACTTTATTACCCTCATTTTATCTTAGTGTTATCAAGAGCTCAGACAGATTTTAAATTTGATTCTTTCCTGTTTGTAATTAAGATTCTTTTTTCTTTCTTTTTTTTTTTAAAGATGTTTAACATCACAGATCATTAACGAAATAGAAATTAAAGCCACGGCGAAATACAACTAAATGCCCTTTAGGAAAACAAAACAAAACATAGTTTCTGGATTATGATTAGATTTGAGGTTTTTTTTTTTTTTTAGTTCACTTTTGCCTCCACAGCAAAAACAAATAATAATGACTTAAAATGATCATAATTAAAAAGATCAGGGTAGGGAATATAACAAAATAGTCTATAAGAAAATATGGATATTTCTGTGACATACAACATTTTGAGATAATAACTGGGATTATTCATAACCACACACACACAGTAAAGACATTACAAAATTACTATGGACTTTACACAATCTCTGAAAAATACTAATAGTGTATATTTATAAAAAGTTTCTTTACTATTAAGCATTACTTTCTATTTGCAAATATTTTACATGTAATATAACACATTACAAAAGTGTAATGTCTTAATAAGATTCTTTTTCCTTGATCGAATACTTTAACCTGTATCCCACTGCACAGGTCAGCTGTATCCCTTCCCCCTACCCAGAGAAAAGCGATTACTGAACATAGCCACATTTTGGAAGAGCCTCAAAGTGATTGTGATTATAAATGCAGGTCTGAGTGTACAGCCCTGGAAGGAATCAGATGGAAACTAATTAATAAAGCAGAAGTCATAAAGTCTACAAAGACCAGGCAGCTCATTGAAGTAAAACTGTGCATACTCTCTTCCTCCCTTCTGGCTTCGTGTTCATGGCAATTTGAGTCTATGAAATGTTTGCTGAGACTTTTCTGTGCTTATTGATGGAGAAAGCCAGACAGGAAAGAGGTGACTCTGGGTGGTACTGCCAGTGGCTGCTAATCTCCAAAGGTTTAGTTGACCTGGTGCACAGGCTTCTTTTCATTGTAATTCGTCTTGCTAAATTGTTTGTTTTTCCTTTCTCCCTGCTGCCTTTCTCATCTGACCCTCCAGATCAGATCAGTTATCAAATTCTTGCCTCAAGTCATTGTGGAATTAGTGGGAAGGTAATGAGGATTAGCATGAATAGGCCTGGCAGGCATCCAGAATCATTAATAATTCGAACACGTGCGTTCCCAGCATGATTAATGTGCACACAAGCCATGACGGACCCGTGGTCTTATGACTGGGCTGGACTGTGCAGTTTTAAAAACAGAGAATAATTAGAGGTCCGTAAGAATTTCTGTTGGAAATTTTTAATTGGACTCTTTGAAACCTCATCTGTTTGCTGATTCCCATAACATGGGATTCTTGTGGAAATCGCAAGAACAACTTAAACTTTGTTATTTGGCATCCTGTTAAACCAAGACTCTATTAACCAGGCAGAACACTTCTAAAATCCGTGTGTCCTGTCTCAGCTAATGACATTCCCTTTTCTAGACTTTGGGCACAGCCTGCTTGGTCCTCAGTTGCCTGCCCGCACTTACCCTGATTCCAGCCAAGCACACCAGCATTTTGTCCTCACTGAAAACCTTTAGTCTGGATCTTCATCACCCCTTACCTGGACTCCTGCCTGTCTCCAGGTGCTCCCTCCTTCCGGGAAAACTTAAATCTTTTGCAATACCAAGTGTAGTGAAACTACAAAGACTGTCTATTGTCTACAGAAGAGTTAAGGATCCCCCAAAGGAGTCTCAAAGCTGTATCCAAGCTGACTCCAGGCTAACTTTCCACCCTAATACACCAGCTACACACTGACTTCAGTTTGTACACCAGCCACAGCAGACTCAGCATGTTAGCTGTCCAACACAAGGCTTCCCTGTTGCTCTCTTCATTTTTGATGCCCTCTCAGTCTGCCTAAGGCCTCTGCCCATTCCATTTCAGCTCTAACACTTTTTGGTGGTATCTTCACTGATCTACCCTTCAGAATCCACTCACCCACCCTACCCCCAACGTGCTCACCCTCAGTGCTTCTACAACCATCTCATTTATACCAACATTATTATACCCTTCTGTTTTCTCTGTTTTGCCTGGGATTTGACATATTTCAAAAGCCTCTCTCCCCCATTATAAGCCCTAGAATGCAGGAACACTTTCTCTTTTAACTTAGTGTCAGTTTCACCCCAGAACTTTTTAGAAGATAAGTTAAATTAATACATAAAAGTGACCCCTTGACACCACAGAATTCTGTAGAATTTATACCCATCATCTTCAGAATTGACTAAATTAGGTATATTTCAGTCTTCAAAATCCCTGCATTTCAGGGACACATCCCTAATAAAGACTGAAGGTCTCAGTTTTCCTGGCACTTAGGTTCTATTCGAAGGAGATCAATAGTGTAAAAGTGAACATCATTTTTGATGGTGAAATGTGCTGTGAAGAAATCAAGGCAGAGTTGAAGGTGACAGCACTATTATTTTACTTACTATTTTTGATGGAGGTATCATTAGTTTATAAAACTGTATGGGTTTCAGGTATAGAATTTCTCACCTTAACATCATTGTTATCACACCTTGTCCACCACCAAATGTGCCCCCACCAACCAGTCAGTTCCTCTACCCAGTCCCTTCCCCGTCTAGGAATCACCATTCGTTGTCCGAGTATAAGGGTTTGTTTTGGTTTTGTTTTTTTCTTTTGCCTTTTTTTTTCCTATTTTATGTTCTACAAATAAGTGGAATCATACAGTATTTGTCATTTTCCTTCTGATTTATTTCACTTGGCATAATCCCTTCAAAGCCCATCTATGTTGTTGCAAATGGTGAGGTTTCACCTTTTTTATGGCTGAGTAGTATTCCATTGTGTGCACATACCACATCTTCCTTATCTATTCATCCATCATCAGGCCCTTGGATTGTTTCCATGTCTTGCCTACTGTGAATAGTGCTGCAGTGAACATAAGGAGACATACATCTATACATCTAGTCAAATTCATGTTTTTATTCTTTTCAGGTAAAATCCCAGAAGTGGAATTGCTGGATCAAATCATATGGTAGTTCTATTTTTAATTTTTTGAGGAGCCTCCATACTCCATAGTGCATGCACCAACATACATGCCCACCAACAGTACATGCAGTTTCTTTTCTTTATGTCCTCACCAACACTAGTTCTCGTCTTGTAGTTGTGCTTTTAGATAGGTGACCAGGAAGCCCAAGATGCACAAGTGACCCTTAAGCAGAACTAAATATGGAGAAAGAATGTGTACACTGGACATTCCGTGGTGGACAGCCAGGTAAGGAACAGGTGCAACGACAAGACAGGAAGTTCACAGAGGCTTCAAGACACAAACATGTTTGGCGTCTTTAAGGAAAGGAAGTCCAGGTAGTTGAGGGTAGTTCAGGTGGAATGGTAAAAGAGTGTGGCTGAAGTCGCAGAGGGAGATTGCTACAGCACATAGAGGTGAAGGTAAGAAGTCTGGATTGAAATGTCAGTGGCTGACATCTATAGTGTTTGCAAACATTGTCTTTAGCAAAGCCCCCCGATTATATTAAATAACAGACAGCATGTATGATTACTGCAATCCAACAGGAGTGTTCTATACTCAGAAGATAAGAGAATCATCAAGTGATATACATGATTGGGTTGCTGGTGTACTCATTCTTCCTGGATTTTCTTGTGCACACAGCTGCAGCAATTGCTTAGTCAAACCTGTAGCAACAGTTAACCCACCTCCACACTTTCTTGCTCAACTTTTCAAGTATTTCTTCTCTTCCACGTACTACCCTCAAGCCAGGGAGACAGTCACTTGCTGAATCTTGTCTTCGAGGGAGCAATCTGATCTACTATACAGTTATACAGCAGAATTTGTCAAACTTTTTCTGAACCTGCGCTTTTGGAGAGACCTAATCATGCTTTATGGGAATGGAATGGAATAACAGAGTCCCTAAACCCTAGAGCCTAAAGAGGAAACTAGGGAAGCCACATCATGGAGTGCCCATACTATGTCAGGTGTTTGATTAGACTGCTTAAATAAACCATCCCACTCAGTCTTCGTGAGCCTCTGAGTTTATTATCAGCTCTGCTTTTTAGATGCAGGAACAGGCTCAGAGGGACTGATAATGTGCAAGTGATAGAGTTCTTGGTTGTTTTTAACCACACTTCTGAGCATCTCCATTGACATGAGTGAGTGTGTGTCTGCATTCCCAGTGCATCTGAGGGCCTGTATGCATCCTGTTCCATTTCTTCTTACATGGAAAGAGTTATGTGCCCCACTTTTTGTTTGCCTGCTTTGTTTTCAGAGACAGAGCTCTTGGATTCTTGAGAAAATTATTATTGTTGTTGTTGTTATGATTACTTTGACATAGAAGAGTAGGGAGAGAGAAGCAAGATCCCCCACCATGAGCCCATGCATGCATCCTTACAAGATTTCTGGCAGGGATACGGTTTACTACATACAGGAATTTTTTGTTATAAAGAAATATATAGATATAGATATATAGCATATAATGTTAATAAAACACCAGTATTAAACTAAACCATGGTGCAGTTGCTATTTTAAAATAGAAGCTGTTGGAAATTTGCTTTAGGATTCTTGATTTTTTATGGTAGGCCTCTCCCTACCAGATTTGATTAGATTGTTTTTCTAAAGGATTGATTTTTTTCCAAAGATTAAGAACAATGCCTTACATTCAGAGAGTGCTTTCTGGTTTTAATAGCACTCCCAGGTACATAGCTTCACCTTCACATCAACCTTGACCTTGTTAGGCAGGCAGGGCAGATGTTACTGTCACAATATTACACAGGAAGGAATTTGAAGCCAAGATGTAAAAAGGGCAAGGGGGGAAGCAATTGGCTACGATCACATGCCCACTAGGTCACCTAAGCTCAGGTCTCAGCTTTCATTTCAAGAGAATATTGCCTTTTTCTTTTGCTTAACCTGAAATTGGGGACGATTACATTTGCATTTGGATAAGTAACTGTGTTGCAAATTTCTTTCTTTTAGGTCCAGTTACCTTTGGACTCCCATAATGGACTCCCCAAAATCTCCAAAAGAAACTGTCCTCATCACAGGAGGAGCTGGCTATTTTGGTTTCCGGTCAGTAAAATGGCAGTCATTCCATGGAATTATTTTACTGGTAGTTCCTGGAAGAAGTACAGCTTTCAACTCTGACTTTTTAAAACAGTGTAGACTTTTACCTCTTTATAGGGTTAAACCAGGAATGGACTATGCTGCCCACTGCTCAGATATTGAGGTTGAGAATGACAGATATATTCCACTTTAACAAAAATTCTTTATAATGCCATTAAAATAGAGAAGAGAGATAGTTACATCTCCAAAATAGAAAGAGAGAGAGAGAGAGAGAGAGAGAGAGAGAGAGAGAGAGAGAGAGAGAGAGAAAAGAAATGAAATGAAATGAAAATAACAGCTGTTCTTTTACAGCTATGTTCCAAATAATGGATGGTGGGTCCTGGGACAGAGAGAAAACTGTAATGTGTAGATGCCGCCATCTTTGAAGACAAATACTCTGTCTTGGTAAATTAAGTAGACAATGATAATTCTCATTTTTTAATATTTGCGCTACTGAACACACACAAAGCAAGGGTTTCAGGATAAGCTGCTAGGAAGATCTGGTAAGTCATTTTATACACTTTTCCTAGCCAGAGCTTGCTAGTGATTTAATCTAACTTTTTCTCTTTCTCATTTTTTCAGCCTAGGCTGTGCTCTAAATCAGAAAGGAGTCCATGTGATTCTATTTGACATCAGCAGCCCAGCTCAAGCCATTCCAGAAGGAATCGAGTTTGTACACGGAGACATTTGCCACCTCTCTGACGTAGAGAAGGCCTTCCAGGAAGTGGCCGTGACATGCGTGTTCCACATCGCCTCTTACGGCATGTCAGGGCAAGAGCAACTAAATCGAAATCGAATCGAAGAAGTCAATGTGGGGGGCACAGAAAACATCCTCCAGGTTTGCAGGAAGAGAGGGGTGCCAAGATTAGTTTATACTAGCACTTTCAATGTCATCTTTGGAGGTCAAGTTATCAGAAATGGAGATGAATCTCTGTCTTACCTACCACTTCACCTCCACCCAGATCACTACTCCCGGACCAAATCCATTGCAGAGAAGAAGGTGCTGGGGGCCAGCGGCACAGCCCTGGAGAGTAGCAATGGTGTCTTGAGAACCTGTGCACTGAGGTCAGCGGGCATCTACGGACCCGGAGAGCAGAGACACCTTCCCAGAATAGTGAACTACATTGAAAGGGGCTTGTTTAAGTTTGTGTATGGGGACCCCAAGAGCCTGGTTGAATTCGTCCATGTGGATAACTTGGTGCAGGCGCACATTCTGGCCTCAGAGGCCCTGAAAGCTGACAAGGGCTACATTGCCTCTGGGCAGCCCTATTTCATCTCAGATGGCAGACCTGTGAACAACTTTGAGTTTTTCCGGCCTCTGGTTGAGGGCCTGGGCTATACATTCCCCTCCTTCCGCCTGCCCTTGACCCTCATCTACTGGGTGGCTTTCCTCACAGAGGTGAGCTACTTCCTTTTGGGTCGACTGTACAACTTCCAGCCCTTCCTCACCCGCACTGAAGTTTACAAAACTGGTGTCACACATTACTTTAGTCTAGAGAAAGCGAGGAAGGAGCTAGGTTATGAGGCTCAAGCATTTGACCTCCAGGAAGTAGTGGAGTGGTTTAAAGCCCATGGCCATGGCAAAAGCCCTGGCACTCGTGACTCTCAGCCTCTTGTTCACAATGGACTGTTTGTTTTGTTCTTAGTTATAGCTGTCCTGACATGGCTGCCCTCTGTGACTCTGTCACTATGAAGGAAGAGCTAAAAATAAGGAGCTGCTCATATTTACTGAGATGGTTTTCAGAAAACATGGGTTTAGTGTCTACAGTGACACCCAGTGCTAAATTTCAACTCTTCTCATTGCTATTTAAGAACAGAGTCTTGGACTAAGTCTTCCTTACTTACCTCCTTGCATTAATCCTGGTGAGAGAAAGAAAAGAAGCAAAGATAGATTTAAAATGTTTTAGATGGGTACAACCCGAGTCATTTTGGAGCCACAGAGCTAAATTTAGTTTGGTTGGAAATGTCTTACTTAAATTTCTCAGATGCCAAAAGTCACTTATTTCCATTCTATATAGTGATGTTTCAGTGAGTGACAGACCATACACATGGAAGCCCCAGCAGGTCACCTTGGTGTGGGGTACGATTTATCTCGCACTTTATGTAACCACACTGTGACACAACAACTCAATTGCCTAACAACACATTTTTCATAACCCACCCCTGTCACTAAGTGATGCTTGGCTGTACTCTCTGAACCTACTTAAAATGGACTGAAACACACACTGATAAAAGAATGTCATGATCCAATGACTTGAAAATGTATGAAAAACACAAGTCAGGCCAGATCCCCACAGACTACTCCTCTCCTGGCTGTTGCAGGGGACACCTTGGTTATCCACAGCCTAAATTTTAGGAATTCATTTTTTCCCCTATGTGATTGAAGGACTTTCAGACTTTCAGCCTGTGTGACCACATGGCAATATTGGGTGTTTAAGCAAGCACATCTTTTTCTTACCTCATAGGTGCTTTTGAGGATTAAATTAGACAAGGCACATAAAGTGTTACTCAACATGCCTAACTGAGCCTTTGTTTATTCTGAAGTTTCCTTCCTCAGGGTATTCTGTTTAAAGGGTGCCATTGCTCCTGACTTTCCCAAATGTCTTAATGTGTGCCCTGAGTGTTTATAGAGTTTTAGTCTCTGAGGAGAGACTAAAGTTCAGGAAACAGCCAAAATTTTGATAACTAAGGAAGATGAACTAACGATGTCATTTGTAATTAAAAAATGAAGTATAGCTCTGAACTAATAGACCGACTTCTCACTGGGAAGAATATTGGTACTCTGAAGGCAAATTCCAGGGAGGAATGTTTTGAACAATGGTACCATTGTCTAGCCACCGGGGACCATTGTCGGAGACATTCAAGGAGCGCTGTTGCATAGAAAGCAAGAGGAAGAAGGCAGACTCTGCGCGTGCCAAGGTGCCAGCTACAGAAGAGGCAGTATTAAATGCTAGCAGGAGCACAGGTTGCTGTGCAAATTCATGTTAGTGTCATTCTGAGAGTATTTGTAGAGGATGTTAGATGCACCATCCCTGCATGTTTTGGGACAAGCATTCAACTTGATACCAGAAGACCTGCCACCAGGAACACTTTGTGCAGTCTTATCCAAGTCACTGAAGTTTCTCCAGGCCTCAGTTTCCTCTTTTGGTATGGGAATGACTATTGATCTTTTCTATAAGCCTACACACCCACCTCCCAGAGTGTTTTTGGAGCCTAAAATAAGAGGTGGTAATATATCTGGGGTGGTATGGGCCTGGACTCCTAAAACATCCCAGTGTTGTAAACACACATTGCCTCAATTAGTTAAATAACTGAAATTAAAATTTAAACAGGTCAATGGATCTTGATGGAATTCTGCTAAGTGAAATAAATCAGAAGAAGAAAGACAAATACCATATGATTTTACTCTTATATTTTACCCTTCTGTGGAAGATAAATAAAAATAACCCCTTAGACTGTGACAACAGAATCATGGTGACCAGAGGGGGAGAAGGATGGGAGAAGGGGGTCCAATGGATTATGTTGGGGAGTCATTGATACTTTCATGGTGAATATGGTTTATTGTATGCGATAATCAAGGTGTGAAGCTGAAATGTACACAGCATGGTAAATGAATGTCATCTCAATAAAATTTGAAGAAAAAAAATTAGATGTGGTAAAAGTACATTTGATGTATAAATTGCAACATAAACATGAGTAGTGATAGAGATTGTTTTTGTGAAATATTTTTGTGGTCCTTTATATCACAAGATGCTTTTGCTTTAGGGGTTAATTCACATGAGCACCTGCAGCAGGTCTAACACTGGGTGCTATAGGGCAGGTTTCTCTGCTCTGCAGGCTCAGCGTGTCTGGACATGGTGTAGGCATACCAGGAGGTGACTGATAGCAGATGAGTACAGTAAAACCTGTATCAGTGGTTAAGAGGGAACGCAGACTCTCCAAACATGTTTTCAATGAAGTCCCTTGAAAGAATGATAGATACTTCTCAGTTTTATCAAGCCAGGTACACCAAGCATGGTGGGGGTTAGCTTGTTCTTGTTTCCCACACAATATACCTAAAAGAAAATCAGGATGTATGTATGGGACTACTGTCACCTGGGTGTGATACATGTGGCCTGGCTGTAGAAAGGACAATGAGGAGCAGTCTCTGAGGTGATGCACTATAGCCAACTCCAAGGTGGAGGGTGGGGCTTTGCAGACTCCACTCCCTGAGCACGGGGGGCTAGATGGGGGCTAGAGGGGGGCTGATGGGCAGAGCTGAAGCTTTGCTGCAGTTGAACCACTGATTTTTGGTAAAAAGCTGCTGTGTTTTTAAGTGAAGGAAAAGATGAACAGCTGGAACTACATCAAATTAAAGAGCTTCTGCAAAAGAGACATTAACCAAAACAAAGAGACACCCCACTGACTAGGAGAAATTTTTCACACGCAATACTACTGATAAGGGACTGATTACAAAGATCTACAAAGAGCTGACAAGACTCAATAAAAACAAAGTAAACAATACAATCAAAAAATGGGCAGAAAGGCTAAAAAGACACTTCTCCAAAGAGGAAATGCAAATGGCCAACAGGCATATGAAAAAATGTTCAACATCACTTGTAATCAGGGAAATGCAAATCTAAACTGCAATGAGATACCACCTTACACCAGTGAGAATGGCACATGTTAGAGACAATAGCAACAACAAATGTTGGCGAGGATGTGAAGAAAAAGGAACTCTACTACACTGCTGGTGGAAATGCAAACTGGTCCAGCCACTATGGAAAGCTGTGTAGACATTCCTCAAACTATGAAAAATGGAGCTTCATATGATCCAGCAATTCCACTCCTAGGAATCTACCCAATGGACACAAAAACATTAATTCAAAAGGACACCTACACCCCTATGTTTATTGCAGCACTTTTTACAATAGGTAAACTGTGGAAGCAACTTAAATGCCAAAAAATAGATGACTGGATCAAGAAGATGTGATTTATATACACAAAGGAATATTAACTCAGCAATCCAAAAAGATAAACTCATGCCATTCACAGCAACATGGATGGAACTGGAAGGGATTGTGCTTAGTGAAATAAGCCAGAAAGAAAAAGAAAAATATCAGATGGCTTCACTTATAGGAGGAATGTAGAGGAACAAAATAAGGGATCAGGGAAAAAAAGTAATTATAATAAATTAAAAATCAAAATCAACAGGCAACTATAAATCAGAGAGAGTCTTCAGGGGAGGAGGAGAGGGAAGGATCAAAATGGGTGGGAAGAGCACAAGGAACTATGGTGATAGTGCACAGGTGAACTGATGGTGGGGATTTCATGGGGACTACACCTGAGAGGAGAAAGCATACATTGTACAAAAATGAAGAATGATGTAAAATGTATATTAAATAAATAAATCCCACCTATTAAAAAAAAAAGCTGCTGTGCTTTTGAGAGTTAAGCTGCTGGGACTTTGGCTAGTTAGTTGCTTTGAAGGGCCTTTGGTGAAGAGGTGAGGAGGGAAATCAGTGAAGAAGCTGCCAGCTTCAGTTTGGTCCTTGGTCTCTGCTCAGCAGACACTATCTGGTAAGACAGTTAGTATCTGGCCACATGCAGCCTGCAAAGAATCTCCCAATCATCTCAAACGCCCTCCCTCCTCTCCTTTTTATGTTATTGTTGTTCCCTGTGTAAATACTGTCATTGCAGTTTCTCCCCATGCATCTGCTCTTGAGTCCTGTCCTGCCTTCCGAAGTGCACGGGTAAGGACCCACCCATTGAGTCAACCTCAGTCCCCTGGGTTTGCTCTGTTTTGATACACCCTCCACATTCTCCTTGAAGGAGTTCATACTCTTTGCATGAACTCACACTCTCCCGATCTTTCTCCTTCTTGTAGCTACTGCTACATAGCAAATTAGCCCAAGACTTAATATCTTAAAACAACAAACTACCTCCTCATTGCTAGGGGTCAGATATTGGGGTGCAGCTTCACTGGCTAGTTCTCGCTTAGGGGCTCTCATTAGGGTCATGGTGGTAACTGGTACTGCAATCATCTGACAGCTTTTCTGAAGCTGTAGAATCAGTTTCCAGAATGGTCCATCTGTATCACCTTTGGCAGGAGGTCCCAGTTCCTCTGGGCATCTCTGTGTGTCTGGGTGAATGTCTTTATAACATGCTAACAGGTCTCCTCCAGCATAGGTGATCCAAAAGAACAAGGTATAAGATGCCATGTTTTCAGGACTGTAGGGTAAGGTAAAAGTGTCAGGCTTTTCTGCCCTCCCGCCATTAGGATAGATGAGGGAACCCTGTGGTCCTGAATGCATGCCTGATGGCGGGCACCTGAAGTGGGTACACCTGGGCTGAGAGACTGAGTTTATGAGGGTGGCATCACAGGGATGCCAGCAGAAGCCGAGCGAAGAAGAGAAGCAGAGAGAACGCCAGAGCCCAGATAGAGTGAAGACTTGCTGGGGGCCAGGAGGCTGGCAGTCCTCTCGGTCCCCCAGCACCCCTGCCTGCCATGTGCCTGGTAAATCTAAATAAAAGACCTGCGAAAGCCATTGAGGGCTCTGACTCCTCCTTTACCTGGTCTGCTGGATCAGAAACCTGCACTGTGTCATTCCTGCCCCTACAAGGACTTATCCCCAAAACGATACATATCCCCAATGTATACACATATAATTATATACCTATCCCCTATAAGGATGAGTCGCAGTTTACTGGAGCTATATCATTTTTTGGCCTGTTACTACCCAGTAGAATCTGGGGGTTACAAAGACCTCTACACTTTGTACCATATCCCCTTTAGCGCAAGCTGGTAGTGTTGCCACAGATATAATTATTTTGAACACATCAGGGGTCTCCTATGAGTCTTACTGTCATTCACCCACAAGGAGAAAGCCACAACCATGAGTGCCTTTGAAATAAATTCTCTCTCTTGGCTTCTGCTCAGACTGATAGGAAAGATATCCTTAAGATCTTAAAAATCTTAGTGTTTAAACAGCTCTCTGCAGCACCCCCAAATATCTCTGCAACCTCAGAAGATGTTAGCCCCACCCCATGAGAGAGAGATTACCCAGGGACATGGAAACCAGGAGGTGGGGATATCTGGGGCCAGGTTCGAGCCTGGATCGTGTCCCATCTCATCAACTCCACGCCCATTTCTTCATTGAGCACCACGGGGCTCTTTCCCAATACCACACCGTAAGGGCAGGATGGGCCACAGGGCAGATTTTCAGTGACCTGAGCAGCTGGAGTAAAGGAGGAGAGAGTGTCCTGGAGCCCTTGGTAGCTTGTGCAGGTTTTTATTTGGATTAACCAGGTGTACGGCAGGCAGCTAGTCTTCACTCTATCTGGGCTCTCTGACCTTCTCTGGTGCTTCTCTCCTCTCTGCTTCTACTCGTGGCTCTTCAGTTCGTTCTGCTTCTCGGCTTCTCCATGACACCGCTCTTAAAAACCCAGTCTCAGCCCAGGTGAATCCCATCTACCTATGCCCACACCCTACTCCAGGTGCCCGCCATCAGGCATGCATTCAGGACTGCAGGATTCAGTCATCTATCCTAATGGCGGGAGGGCAGAAAAGCCTGATACTTTTTACCTTAGCCTACACACACTTTCTTTCTAAGTGATCTTGTCCAAGCCCCTAGCTTTAATTTTCATCTCTACCCCAAATCTATAACATAAAAAATTAGTTCCAGCTCCAGAACCATATATCCAACTATTGCTGCATTTCCCCATCTCCACCCCCCCCACCCCAGTAGCCTGTTGGAGTCAACATATCCAAAACAGAATTCACAATCTCATATTCTTGCAGGATTTTTCTTCATATTCACTGCATTTCTCATGCCAGTAACCTCAGATCACCTTTGATCCCAGTTTTTCCTCAGCTGACACATCTGGGGACAAAGGTAACACATAATTTCCTATTTCTTGTTTGTTGAAGACTGGGGGAAATAGCCAATCTACTAGAATTGTGTATCAACTAAGTTGAGACTAGATGAAGCCTCATCAGGACATGACATTGTTCTGGTGGGAATATTATAGGCTCATACGCTGGAAGATGTTCAGAGATTGGGGGAGGGAGGTAGAGTGGGAATTTGATTGTACTCTCTCCATGACTTAACTGAAAACTGTTTTCCTGCCCCCTTCAAGGTTCAGGAGGAATTCCTTCCACTTGAGGAATTCCATTAGTTTTAGGGTTTCCTGCTGCCCTCACCTTGTCTCCACCTTGGATTGAATCTGCCTAAAGCTATAAAACAATACTCACACTTGAGCATGGGGTGGGGGACAACTAGATACCTACACATAAGTCACCCAGCAGTGCCACCCTAACCACTGCTCCCATAGCCTGTTGGAGGGCCACACCATGCAATAAAGCCCTGTCAGCAATGCAAAGGTGATGCCTGAGCTGCCACTTCTGCAAAACGGTGGAGGGACCAGACATGCCTGTCCTTAGTGCCATTCAGGTCATGGGCAACAGAGGCTGCAACATGCTGAGCAGCAGTTATTGGAGGGCCAAATGCTTAATTCAAGCACCAAGTTATCTAAACTAATACCTAGGTGTTTCTTCGGCCTGCAGAGTAAGTTAAGGATACTTTTCAAGAAAAGGGTTTTTTTTCCCCCCTAAAACACCCTACATGGTGATTATACCGAAGCCAGTATTGCTCTTAGATTTAACTAGTTTACTAACAATTGTTGTATTGCATCTCCTCTTTGTATGCTTTCCACAGCCCCAGTGGTTCACCTAGCCTTACAGACTGGGTGAAAGTAGCCTGCAGCACCCTACTTCCAGCCCCACTAGTTGGGCACCCTAGCAGTAAGGGTCTGTGAGCTGTGAGCAGGCCTTGGCTGCCCGCATCAACAGTTAGTCCCTATTTGCTAGCATCCCTTGCATTAAAGTATGACATCCAGGCCCCTTCTGGATGAGAGAAACCCGGACCCACCCACTCTGAGGCTGACCTCCACGCACAAACCCTGGCCAATCAGAGACTGCGTCCTCCTGGCTGTGGCCATTGTGCCAAGGTGAGCCAATCACAAGGTGAGCCATCCTCTACTCAATTTTTTCCTTCTTTGCTGGAGAGGGGACGGGTCTTTCTTCCGGGGGTGTCTCATCCTGAGGAACAGCGTTAAGGGCTGCCACAGACTCTCCCACCAAAGCAGAGACGAGCGCTGATATTGCTGGTTGGGCTCCTGGCTCCAGCTGTGAGTTATTTACAGCAGAGTTGGGAGATGCAGAGAGAAGTTCCTCGCGAACATCATCAGGACTCTGCCACCCAGCCACGGCCAGCTCCACCCTGTGAGTCTTAGTACATTTTCTTTTGTGCTCTGAAGTCCTTAGAGTTGGATTTTTCTCCATAAATTGGAAATGGTTGAACACACTCATGCTATTTAATACACTCCCTGCCCCACACCTGTGTGCCCTGGGCCTGCCTTATAAAGCGGGAGCTCTTTCAGCCCACCAGGGGCTGCACATTTGCTGGAGTTCTTCCAAATCTGTTTAATTTTCTTTTCTAAAATCATATAGACGTGGGTCAGAGCAGTTTTGTTTTTTTTTTTTTTTTTAAGATTTATTTATTTATTTATACAAGCACTGGGTACAGTCAGAGGCATGGGAGGGTGAGAGAATTCATCAGAGCCAGAGCGGGGAGCAGAGCAGGCAGAGGGACAGAAGTACACTGCTGAGGGGAGCAGCGGGCGGCAGGAGAGGTCTGCGCGCCATGTGGGACCCTCCTCTGGTGGCCGGGGAGCAGCCTGGGATTGAACCAGCACTGCAGAGGCTGCAGGCAGCTTCGCAACCCAGAGCTCAACTGCTGCGCCACCGGGGAGGCCCCAGAGCAATCTTTAAGCACTCTCCTTCAATAAGAAAATGACTGGATGAAGTGATTTATTCCCCCTGAATATGGCGTCTGGGGAAGGCAGGGACCCTGTCAGCTTCCATATGCAGAGAACTCTGATCGGCCCCTGTAGCTCTCCCAAAATGTTTGTTGAAGGAGTGCTTGCATTTATCAGGTGGTTTTATCTGACATTACAGAACTGGTATCCAGATGATATGATGCTCAGACCTGGGCCTCCCAGCAGAGCTGAGAATAACACTGGAGGCCTGAGTTAGAAATGCAGCCTTCGATGTTCAGGACGGGATTATTATTAACTACGGTCATCCTGCTGTGGATTCACTTTCTGGACTTCTTTCGGGTGCTTCCAGCATAAGAAATCGCCGGTAGAAGGTAGGTAAATTAGTCTGACGGTAGTAGTCATTTCAGTGTTTATCAAATCATTGTGCCATGTACCTTTAATATATACAATTTTATTAAAAAGAAAATACAAACTTCAGAGGAAGGATATTATGGCACAGTGGGGAACTCAGGAGTCTGACCTTTGGCAGAACAAGTAACCTGAGGAAGAGCAGGATCAGAACCAATGATTTTTATGTTACCACTTTAAAAAAAAGAAATACATGCAGACTCCAAACTCTCCCCCTGCGGTTCTGATTTGGGTCAGCCTAGGCTCTGGACTCCAGGTGTTTCTTATCTTCCAACAAGGAGGTGGGGAATGCTGTGAGGCTGTGACTCCCTTGCCAAGAAGCTAATAAGAGGCGCCTGAATTCCCCTGGTACGGCTTGGCTGTCACAGGTGCTTGGCATCGCCCGCTGAGTGTGTGATAGGGGAGGCGCGGCTCATGAAAGGCCATTAGATCCGGGTGCTCTCTGCAGCCCCAGCTGTTGTTTGTTGACTGACATACTGATGGCACATGATGGTGCTAATTCCACAATCCACCCAGAACACCCTTTCTTTGGCCGAAGTGCTGCTTTTGTGACCCATCCAGCTGGACCTGGATACCTAAACTTTTAGCACAAAAATAGTCATTTACATTGAAAATTGAACCAAAACAGCAGTCAATCAGACCACATCTCTAAATTGTGTATATTCACACAGTATAAACATCCTGTTTATTAGAACTCACAAACACCAAGTAAGATACCTTTATTTTTTTAGTTTAGAATATTTTTAATTAAGAATGGTTCTATGGTTTAACCACAGAATGGTTCTACACTGTTGGTGGGAATGTAAATTGGTCCACTTGAAAAACAGTATCTCAAAAAATTAAACATTGAACATGTAGTATGATCCAGCAATTCCAGTTCTTGGCATCTATCCAATGAATATGAAAACAGGAATTTGAAAGGCTATCTGAACCCCTGTGTTACAACACTGTGTGTTTTAGGAAGACAGGTTCACACATCTTCAAATATATGGTACCAGTGCACCCAAACCACCAAAGCATCAGTGACCTTCTACCATAGTCCATTAGGCTCCCTCTAACCAGTACCCCTGCTCACCTTGGTCCCTTGACAAATTACAAGTGTTTTTACTTGTTATATTCCATCTATGGGTGAAATCATCTACTTGTCTTTCTCCATCTGATTTATTTCACTCAGCATAACCCCTCCAAGCTCCATCCATATTGATGCAAATGGCAAGATTTCATCCTTTTTTTGTAGCTGCAGAGTAGAGCCTTGTGTAGGTAAACCACATCTTCATGCAGCCAGCCAGCCTTGGACACCGAGCTTGTCTTCATGTCTCGGCATAGAGCTCACCCTCAGTAGTGAGGAAGTGAACATAGGGCTTCATGTAGCCCTTCCAATTCCTGTTTTCATATTATTTGCATAGATGCAAGAACTGGAATTGCTGGGTCATAACACTAGTTCAATGCTTAATTTTTTGAGACACTTCCCAAGTGGCTACCAATTCACATTTCCACCAACAGTGTAGAAGGGCTCCTTTTTCTCCTCACCACCCTCTTCACCCTCACCAAGACTTGCTGTTTCTGTTATAGGACAGGGAAAGGGGCAGCCCAAACCCCCCAAACCTGCCTATTCTACATGGGTTCTGCCATCCGCCGCATCAACACAAAACATAGGAGACTTTAATGGGAAGGAACTTTAATAAAACTAGGAAACAATACAGGTAAGGCAAAGAGTCTAGTTTCTAGTTTCTAGTCTAGTTTCTAAATGAAGCATTCAGAGTTACCCGTCCCCTCGTGGGTAAAAGTCCATCCAAATGGGATTGGCCCAGAACAAGGCCCCAAAGCCTGCCATGAGTCTAAAGCACCTTCCAGTGGGGACCCACAGCAAAGGGTCAGAAACAATCAGACAAGCCCAGAAGAAAAAGAGCAAAATCAACATCAAGATAAAAGCTGCCATTGTCACCTCCCCATGGGTCTCACCCACGTCTGTGTCACCCAGTCCACAACCCAAAGACAAGCGCAGTTTCTTCACGTGTCTCTAGGCTCCATGGGCCTCCTTCAGGTCTCCTGGCTCCATCCTGCTTCCTACCTCAGTCTCTTCTTCAGCTTCTCCTCTTCCTGCTCAGCTCCACCCTCCCTTGGGTGGGGCAGGGAACCTCCCCCTTTCCTGGGGACCACCCTGTTACAATCCCCCCTTTTAATTTTTATTCCACCATATCTATGGTGGCACCCTGTTACATTTCTACTTTTGTTTTTTTTTGTTTGTTTGTTTGTTTTTTGGATAAAGACCATTCTCACAAGTGCAGGGTGACACTTCATTGTCATTTTGGTTTGCCTTTCCCCCATAACAAATGATGCTAGGCATTTCTTCCCATGCCCGTGGTCACCTGTAGGTCTTGGAGAGTGTATGCTCATATCTTGTGCACTTTTTAAAAAAGATTTATTTATTCATGCATACAAGAACTGGGGTACAGTCCAGATGTGCAGGAGGTTGAGAGGATTCACCAGAGACAGAGCAGGGAACAGAACAGGCACACTGACTGAAATGCACTGTTGAGGGGAGCAGTGGGCAAGACAGGAGAGGTCTGTCACACCATGTGGCTAGCTCTCTCTCTGGCCTGCCGGGATCAAACCCATGCTGCAGAGGCTGTGAACAGCTTCACAGTGCTGCGATCAACCGCCTGCTCCACCAGGGAGGCCCTTTTCTGCACATTTTTTGCTTGGGTTGTTTGGAGTTTTGATCTTAAGATATACTACCATTTTCCTGATAGTTTCTTTTGCAGTGCAGAAGCTTTCTAGCTTGATGTAGTCTCGTTTGTTTGTTTTTGCTTTTATTACCCTTGCCTTTTGAGTCAAGTCCCCAAACACACCTCTAAGACTGATAAGATAACATTGATTATATGACCTGTTCCTTTGTATGTATGTAATCATTTTAGGTCTTACATCCAAGTCTTTTATCCATTTTGAATAGATTTTTGTATTTAGTGTTTTATAGTGATCGGGTTTCATTATTTTGCATGTGTTGCCCAGTTTCCTTAGCACTTTTGGAAAAACCTTTGTCACAGAACTCAAGACCGTTGTCACAGAACTCAAGTAGTAATGACTGAGACCAAATCTAGCACACTGCAGAGAAATTACACCTACCAAGGTGACCTGGGCTGGTCTTTCAGCCACCAAAGTGTCTATCTACAGGAATTTACAAGGTTTAACAGAGCTGTTTGAAGCATGCAATTAAAAAGTTCATTACTAATATGTGGGATATTAATTCTGGGAACCATCCTAGATGTCTTTTTCTGCAGTCTTCCAGGGGAGATTTATTACAGATCTAAAAGTAAAATACTCTTTTATCAATATATATTTTCCAATTTTGTTATGAGGATGCATCATTTTGTGCTCCTAACCATGCCTAGAAGCTAATTTCTCTATAATTAATATGTGTGAAATGCTTTTTGAAGAATGGTTTGCTGTGTTGCTGGGGCAGTTACAATACCCCTACTAACTTATCAAGTAGCTTTGTAGGAGACGTTGTCAAGCACTGGGATAATGATGGATATTAACCTGTCACCCTCATTAACTTAGTCGTTCATTTTTAATAGTTAATTGCTACTATTTGTTGAGCATTTATTATGTGTAAGACACTGTATATCTTAAATCCATTTAGTTCTCCCAATGACTTTAAGAAGTATGTACATTTATTTCCAGTTTATGGGTGACAAAATGGAGGTTTAGGGTGGTCTAGCCTCTTGCCCACAGTCACCCAAAGTCATCAGCTAGCAAGAGACAAAGTGGATTTGAACCAGCTTACCTTGAATCCTGACACCAAATTCTTCACTACATCTGAGGTTGCTTTATCATTTTTGCATGACAGTATTCAAGGCCAAATGTCACCCAGATTGCATTTGCAATTAAAATAAGTGATTGGATTTTATTTGTTGGGAGAAGCTTGCAAGCGTACACCATGGCTTTTGTTGCACAAACTCATTAGTTAGGTCAACAAGCAAAGCATTATTTTATCCTGTGACTGTGTGTGTAGGTAGATTAATCTACTGGCATCCCATTATTTGAAATAAGGAGTCCAGCATGATAGGACCCTAATAACCCATAGTACATCCTCCAAGAGTAGTTGATTTGCTTTTGTACCTAATCAGGTACTGACATTGGTCCTCTCCCCAAGTTGCATTCTAAATCAGTGTGCTGAGGTCAGAGCCCATGCATCACTCAGGACTGATTGCTATTTGCCTCCCTGCAGTCTCATACCTTTCTGGGCATGGACCACAGTCCTCATAAAAATCTGCCGAAGTAATGAAATGACTCTACATGTCCAACTTGTAGAAATACCCATAGATGTTTCAGTTTCCCCACAAAAAGCCAAGTGTTTTCAGACCACTGCAGAACAGAAGTCTGTGTAAGCCCAGGAAGCCTTCAGATCCTTGACCTGACTGGAAAAGTGTTCTTTGGTGTGGGTGATTATGGCCCTCGGGCACTCAAGGACTTGTGCCCCTGCTGGCACTACATGAGGTGGGGCCCATCTCTTATTTACAGGTAATTTTGAGCAAGTTCATCCTCATCTGGGAAGTGGAAATAACTCATGTCATGGGAAAGCTTGTGTGGATGAAGTGGCATGGAGGCCTTTTGTAGCCCCAAAGCAGTGTGCACAGAGACACTTACTCTTCCCAGGGAGAGGCAGAGGATTTGGAGAGGGGGCTGGTGGGGTACAGAAAGAGATTCAGAGTATGCTAGTTGGGCTGGAGGTGTTCAAGTGGACTGCTCAATAAGTAGTTAGCAAGGCAGGACTGGAGTTAAAGAAGAGCTAGATGTTCAGGTGGTGACAGTAGTAATGAAAACATTTCACTGATTCGCTGTTATAAAGCAGGTGCCAGTTTGTTGACTGTACTTTAAAATACCCCAATGCAATGTTTTGAGCTGTAAGCTGAAAATGGAAAGTTTTTTTCTGTTGTTGTTGTTTGCTGGTTGTTTTGTT